CGGGAAAAGAAAGCCAGATTTCTTTTTTTTAAATGTCTGTCTAAAAACCTTAGCAGGAATTGAAAAGTGAAAAGGATTCCTAGCAAAGGGAACCCACATCACAATATTAGTAGTAATAATATGTGTATCACACTTGAGAGTGTTCAGAGGGTGATCTCGCAGCCTTTGCAAGAGCTCATTTCCATGAGTTACTGACTGCTGGACCAGCAGCTGCAGAGGGGTGTCAGAGAGCAGTTTCTCCCAGACTTACTCAGAGGTGCTCCAGGAACTTCTGCATGGAGCCAGGGGCTCTGCCACGAAGCAACCATCCCTCCCTGAGCAAAATCGGTCGATGCTTTACCTGGGAGTCCCGCACTGAGCGGGGGGTCGGACTCAGTAGCCATATAGGCCCCTTCCAGCTCCACTGCTCTGTGTTTCTATTACTGTTTCCATCTTCACACTTGCTTGCCTGAAGCCACCAAATGAACTAACTGGATGCAAGATTCTAACCATTCGCCGAGGCTTCGGCGAATGGGGCAGCATAAAAATGTTTTAATAAATAAATAAATAAAATAACCAGGTATTTCATATTGTTATCTAATTATGCACCGCTCAGTCTCTTATCTCACTGGCCCCTTCTCTTGGTCTCTTGACCCCAGTCTGCACTATAAAAACATATGGAAGGAGCAAAAATATCCAGCGGGGTTCTCTAGGGCTGTCGAAGCAGGCTGCCCTTCAGTTCCCAGCCCATTGCACTGAAACCGAACCTCTTTCCAAAATGGTCTAGGAAGAAGTCCCATGGCTGCTATTACAGCAAACAAGAACAGGAATCCAGAGTGGCTGCATCAGACATGGGGGCCCCAGAAAGATGGCAACATCTCTTTGTCCAATGGTAGCCATCACCCTGGGTGAGGTTGTGTAAGGCGGCGTCCATTATCCCTCCAGGCCAGCATGTATTTGGCAGAGTGAGGATGTTCCAAGGAATATCAAGGAGATCCACATCTCTGCAGTGGGGGACCTCAGCCTGCCACTCATATCAATCCTCGACATGCTGCAAGGCAGGATAGTCAGAACGGATGGGGGCCGGCCTCCCAGCTCTTGCCACCAAGTAAGGCAGACAAAACCGCCTTCATATCACCGTCCCATGTTGTGGTGACTGACTGACAAGATGGAGATGGAGATGGAGATGGAGATGGAGATGGAGATGGAGATGCTGATGCTGATGCTGATGCTGATTCTGATGCTGCTGCTGCTGCTGGTGGTGGTGGTGGAGGAGGAGGAGGAGGAGGAGGAGGAGGAAGGAAGGAAGGATGACGACGAAGAAATGTTGCCCTTTGTAAAGCCATTGCTCATGTCCACTTACTCTTTGGCTTCCATCTCACAAGGAACAATTCAATGCACATGGATGCCACCATCTTGGTTCCAACGTTGAGTCAGCTCAGTAGACTATAGCGACTACCTCCCAAATCTGGCACCCTCCAGATGTGCTGCCCTGCAACCCCCATGATTTCCAGCCACTATGTCCACTGGCCAAGTTGAAGATGGCTGATTTAGACCATTGTCACATACATACTTCAAATGACATGTCGCAATCTCAGCAACAGACCAGGCCCACTAGAATCCCTGTAGCAACCACAAACATTTTTCCCCTATGCTTTTCTGCCTCTACCCTCATTCCATCAAAATCTGTGTTGGTGTTGGTGTTGGTGTTGGTGCTGGTGCTGGTGTTGGTGTTGTTTTGCTTCATCCTGCCTAAGGCAATTCCACAGAAAAACCAATTTACCCAACCAGAAGGTATTTTTCTCTGAGCACATCAAATACTGTCTCCAATTTGAAGGTTTTATGTCTGGAATAGCAATGAGCACAGCTAGGAAGTATTTCTTACACCTTCATACTGTGAAAGGGCTTCAGCTTGAAAGGGTTGAAAAGGGAGGGAAGGAAGAAAATAACTTCAGGAACAGAAAGAACCCTTAATTCTCTCATTATTTCCATACTGAAAAGAAAGCAGACATGGAGGCTATCAAAACTTTCAGATCTGCTGGAAGTATCTGTAGATACAGTGATTTGGTCTTTCTAACTCACGCGCACAGAGTACCTGCAAGCAAAATATATGGGTACACTTTTTTAATGCTGTACTCAGAAAGAGGACTGGTGATATCTTATTAAGTAAGCCAAGCCCATGGCATCTGGCAGCACACCCTCCCTAAGAACTTTACAACTGCAACATTCAGAGGACAGGCATAGATATGTTGACTGGGTTCAGACAACATGATAATTCACATCCACAGGTTGTGTAAGGGTTGAATGTGGGCTGTTATTGAGCCATGATTTGTTATTACTGTGTTGCCTGAACCCATCTGTGCTAACAAGCCATGGTTTATTAACCACAAATAACCCATGAAGAGAACCCATGGTTTGTTGTTGGATGGTGAACTACGGGTTGTTCCCCATGGTTTGCTATCTTGATTACGTTCAGACAACATGAAAACCCATGTTTCCACCACAACCCCACAGTTCAGTGAGAACTCAAACACAACCCCTACTCAGCACTTGAATGTGAATTTTCAATGACAAACCTAGACTCAACCCATACTCAACCCAGTTTTCTGAACCCAGGCGTTATTTAACTGGATGGGAAACTGGCTTAAGCTGTTTAACCAGCTCTCATCTTAGTGGTATACATGCACCCCCCTCCCTGCCTCCTACCTATGTTGGAGTTTAAATTCACATGTGAGTGGACAAAGCGCTGATTCTAACCCGTATTTACCCACAGTCCAAGACCGCCTGATCTCACATGCACTTCTACAGATTTCTGCTTCCAGGTGAGCATCTGCCAAAAACAAAAAATACAACACTTTCTGGACAGCACCCTGAGCTCTGAAATCAAAGGCAGGCAGAAGGTAGATCTGTATCTACTGGTAGATCAGCCAGCATGCTTGGATCCAGCTATCTAATGATGGCAACAGCAACCACAGGAACAGTCCTCCCAGCCCCTGAAAATAAGGTTGCTGAAACTGAACAGCCAGGAATGGATTTGTGGGCTTGTGCACTTAGTTTTGGTATTAATCACAAATGCTCGGGGTGAGCATCCACTCAGAGGTCCCTTTCCCTGAAAGATTAGCATATGTCCACCTTCCTGTACCCCTATTTTGTACCTGGGCTCTAGTGGGTCCTGCTGAAAAACCAAACAGACCTTGCAAGATCGAATTCTGGCCACCCAGTTCTTAAAACAGACCTCTTCCAGTTCCAATGGTCTTTAAAATGCATTTTCATCTCTTGCATTTCCCTTTCGGTGGAGTAGTTAGCACCCCATGTCATGTCCTCTTTCGAGTTAAGCATCGTATTCCTTAACCCTTCTGCACTCTTTTATTCTTTTCCATCTTACACAAAGGGGCCCCTTTCCACACCGAATGCCGCGTGCTTTAGCAGGCAGAAACCTGTCATTTACAGTTCCTAACCCCTGTCAGGCCCTTTGTAGATAATAATCAGCAGAAGGGTGATCACCCTTACTGAGCAAAGGACGGGTGCCTTGGTCCTCCCTGTCTAAGACAAGGAAGACTTGTGGCTCTCAGCAATGCCCACAGGGACCTGTCCAGAGAAAGGACTGTCCGAAGAATAATCAGTTGCAATTTGAAACTTGGGGCAGGGACCGAGTTGCTGTCCCTGTGCCCCCATTAATGACACAACTCATGGAAACATGTCCCAGCCACCAAGGATGGCTGAAGAGCTTCTGGGAATTGAATCCGGATGCCCTAAATGGTACACTTGTGGTCAAAGCTATCCTCATCATCATCATCGTCATTGTCACCCTGGTGGACCAAAGTCCTGTAAGGAGAAACTCAGCTACAGGAAGCACTTCAGAAATACACGCAGAGCCTTGTTCACAGAGAGCAGTGACAAAACCCGTAACACCTTCTTTCAGCTTCAAGGTGAAAGAACTCCTGGTTGGCACGAAGAATGCAGTCCAGCCTCTAAATGCTCTCCGTCCAGTGGTGAGGCTTTTTCATAAGAGGTGGCCATGCAATTCCTTACTCACCACTGGAATATTGAAGGAGTTTGGCATCCCGCCATTAATGCACCCCACTCCACAGAAAAGCATGTCCCTCCATTTACAAGAACAGAGTCCACAAGTAGCCAGTGAAGCTCTTGCTCCCAGCATCCTGAGCCAAGTCCCCTCCATTAGAAAGTCACCTTCAATGGATCTGTTGAGGGACTGTCAAAATACCTGCCAAGAAACCAGAGTTAAGCATCTCTTTCAGCCTCGGCGTTGGCTTCAGAATAAAAGTCTGATGGCCCCAGATGATAAATTGAAACCGCTATAAAAGAGGAAAGCCACCGTGAAGCCAAGGAATGGCTTCCTGTTCTCTTGGACATTGCCCAAGGGAGATCAGACCCTGGGGAGAGGACGTCTATTTATACAGAACCTACCGTGACATCCCAGTAAATCGAAACTAACCAGAGTTTTGTAATGCCTCCGAGACTAACAAATAAATACACTTTTATGGGCCAGACCATGCATCTGCTGCAGCAAGGTCTGTGCCAAAATGGTTTATGCTACAAACAATTTATTAAGTCTTTAAGGAACCACGGAATTCTTGATTTGCTCGTATTTGTCTTTTCCTGCGACAGACCGACACAGACACACCTCCGGAATTTGTTAGCAGCAAACAGAGTACTTAACCTCACTGAAAATCCACAGTTTTCATACGACCAAACGAATGAGAAGCCAGTCTGCTCCCCATACAGCCTCCAGTAACATCCAGGTTGAAATACGCTCGGATGGACCAGCCTGTCTGGTTCCAATGACATGCAAAGCACACACTGTGATTCAGGACCACTGGGCTCATCCGTTTTGACTTTGACCCAGTTCACAGACAGCTTTCACTCTTCATACACACAACCCACACCTCCGAAAAAATACGATTCTCAGAAAGCAGAGGACCTATGTCTCTGTGCCGCTGTACCAACTGACAGGAATTCTCCACCACAAGCCACGTCAGGGTAGGAAAAGCCAGGCCTACCTTTTTCAGCTTGCCACTCTTCGTGCCCACAAAAGCCAGCGAGTGGTTCTTATAGACATACGCAATGACCGACGTCATCCGGTCTTGGTCTTCCGTGAAGATGGCAAGTCCTCGTACCATTTCAGATACTCCGAGTGGGGCGTTCATATCCAGGCCACAAAAATTGTCATCGATTGTTAACAGCTGCAACGAAGACAAAAGAGGGGAGAGGGCATTATGGACCACGTGAAACCATTGCATCAGGCAAAGAAGCATTCTGGCTCATGAATGGGTAATTTGGAATCTATCCAATGGTTTGGCCTACAGCTCCCATCATGCCTCACCGTTGGCTTTGCGGACAAGGTCTGATGGGCATGGAAGTCCAAAGCGATGGAAGGGACATGACTCGTCCATGCGTATTTCAGTTCTCAAATAGTCTGCAAGGTGATGATGAACTGCGGAAATGGGTGACCTTGAACAGGTAGGGTTGCGTGCAAATTTGCTTCTGGCCACAGAACATGCACCCGTGCTCTATTCAAAGCGTGGAACATGAGCATAAGCACAAACATGTAACCACTGAAACTGCTTGCAAATAATCAGGCGCACACTCCCGTTCGCCTCCATTCCTGATTCTGAATTCAAGCTGCACGCATTTTCTATTCTGTGCAAATTCCCTCCGTAGCCTAAACCTGCCCCACGGAGGTCTATGGAGGAAATTTGCACACCTAGATTTGCCCAAATCTCCCCTTCACACCAAGTGACCCCCACACGAGCAGCCATTCCATCCCAGAGGAGAAGAGAGACAGGCGGGCGTTCACACAACGACACCCCCTTTCCTGCTCATTCTGCACAACCTGTGCTTGGCAGCTTGGCGGAACTGGGGGATTTCAGGTGCCAGAGCAGCCTGAGTCAGGGATGGCAGTACGCCCCCGCTGTCCTTTAAGCATCTGCTTTCGCGTACCTCTCCAGACAATTGTGAACACAGCCAAATCCACATTCTGGGAGGAATGCTAGCGGAAGGATTAGAAGGGAATCTGGCCACACCGCCTCACTTTCTCTTTGGCAGGGTATCTGGTTAACTGGGCTTCCTTGGACACGGAGATGTTTGCAGAATCCTGTGGGCAACCTGCCTATTGCGGGGAGGGGTGCCGACGACCAACCATCCATCTGCAACGATCCCTGGTTTGGAGGAGACTGAGGGAACTGGGCATGTCCAGCCATGGGAAGAGAAGGCTGAGGGGGGACCTGATATCCCTCTGTAAGGGCCTCAAAGGCTGCCACAAAGAGGAAGGCCAAGATCTCTTCCTGCTGATGCCAGAGTGCAGGACGTGGAATAATCCGTTCAAGTTGTGATATGACGGTGGGACCAGCTGTCTGGAGAGGTTTGGGCTCTCCCACACTGGAGACATTCAAAAAGAAACTGGGCAGCCACCTGAGTGGGATGGTGTAATGTGATGTCCTGCACCAGCAGGGGGTTGGACCAGATGGCCTTCATGGCCCCTTCCAACCCTGCTATTCTAGGATTCTGGGATTCCATGAATTGGATCCTTTTATTCCAGTGGCTGGCTGGCTGGCCCTCAGCTGCCCAGGAAATGGCCATTGGCCCATCTGGCTGCTGAGCTCTCTGGATGAGCCTCCAAAAACAGGAGCAGCCTCACTCAGACTGGCAGAGGTGTGACCCACCACTTCAGGGAGCCAAAGAAATCCTGGATCTCCGCACCAAGCTCTCTATGGGAGTCGAGGTGGAGCAAGCGTGCTTTGAGGAACCCAAGGCTCATTTGAACCGGGTCAGTTCTGGAATGCAGCCCTGGTGGGCAGAAGAAGACTAGTGAAATGCCCCTGACCATGTGCAGAGTGCTTTCCCCAAACCCCGGTCATCAACTACAGCCGGCCTGTCACACATTAGGGGTGAGCCGAGGGGGCTGCCCCATGTCCATGCAAGGACCTGAGCACACCTGCGAGTTCATGCCCTGCCTCTTCCAGATGGATATTCTGCAGGATAATGGAGGCTGGACAGGGAGCCGGCACTCAGAGCCGCGGTGAAATGGCACGTCGCGTGTCACTCGTGCAAGTGCCACAACGGTTGCTGGGCAATTACATGCCACTGTGGACAAGCGGCGATGCAGTTACGGCCATTTTACCAATTACAGGAGAATTGCAACCACGGCGCTAAGAGGTTTTTCACTCAGATGTAATTTGGAGAAAGAACAGAAGAGAGAATGAAGTTGCTCAAATTTACTGGGACTTGTGTCGGCGGCTGCTCAGATTTTTATTACTTTTATTATTTTTTTAGTGACAGATCAAGGATGGGTGTCAAGTTTCCAGAGCGCTGAAGAATCCTAATGCGCTGCAGAATCCACCGCCCGTCTTGGCCACCTCCACACTTCCCAACACATGGCTCCAGGCAATAACAGAGCAGGTACCTCGCATCATAAAATGTGCAATTTCCTGGAGGGAAGACGGCGCTTCTTATTCACCCGGTTTCCTTCCTGCAGCTTCAAGGAGGCTTTTTGTGTGCTTACATTTCATGGGTAAAAGTGAAAGAAGCATTATTTACTTCTGCAAAGTTTCCAGGAGTAAGTAAACTCTTTTGGGACGGTTGGTCAGGAGTGCCACCAACTGGGGTACAACTACACTGAAAACTTAGGTCAGGCTTGTGCCAGCCTAACTGTCATGGCTGTCTTGCCCCAGAAGAATCATGGGAATTGTCACCTGGCAATGGGGCCAAAGGAGAAGGCCCAAAGCTCCGGCATCACTGAGCAGCCCCCGAGACGCCAGACACCCCCAAGATGGAGATTCTTGAAACTGGCCCAACAACAGGGCATGTTCAGCCCTGAGAAGAGAAGACTGAGCGGGGACATGAGATCCCTCTATAAGCACCTCAAAGGCTGCCACAAAGAGGAAGGCCAAGATCTCTTCTTGCTGATGCCAGAGTGTAGGACATGAAATAATCAAGTCAAGTTGCAACAACCCAGATTTAGGATGGACATCAGGAAGCGCTTCCTCACTGTCAGAGCGATATGGCAGTGGAACCAGCTGCCTGGAGAGGTGGGGGGCTCTCCCACACTGGAGACATTCAGGGTGAAACTGGACGGCCCCCTGAGTGGGATGGTGTAAATTGGTGTCCTGCAAGAGCAGGGGGTCGGACCCGACAGCCTTCATGGTCCTTCCAACTTTACTGTTCTATGATTCTATGAACAAGAGCCCCCTAAGTCCCAGTTCCAGGTCTGGGGCAACTCCTCTGACTTCCAACATCCAGAATCAGAGGGGCTTATGGGCTGAAGCATCAAACACTGTGGCCTCATCCCAGTCCTTCCGGGAGCAGATTCCTCACAGGGGCCGTCCCAGGTTGGGACATGGCCTGGGGCCACAGTATCTGACGGAGCGCCTCTCCCAACCACAGTCTGCCCAGACACGACGATCAAGCTCTGGAGCTTGCCTTTGGCTGCCACCTCCTAGGGAGACTCAGACAAGCCGAAGGGCCTTTTTAGTGGTGGCAACAAGCTCCTCCTAGAGACCTGCCAGTGCCAACTTTAGCATCCTTTCAGTGCCTAGTCAAGACGACCCTCTACCACAGGGCATTTCATTAGTGTATTGAGCCTTGGTTGGCTGCGTAAACTGGTTGTCTGATCGAGTCATATAACTTTTTTCCATGCATGTCAATTTGGTTTTAAACTTTGTACAATAACCTTTTAATGACGATTTTAATGTGGTTTGCATTTTTAGATTGTATTTTTATGTGCTGCTGCGATCTGCCCAGAGCTCCAAATTTAAAATATTATTCATTCATAATCATAATAATCAGTACAGATTCTGCCTTGCTACACCAAGCCCTGTGGGCTCCTGCTTCAGGCTGAACGTGACAAAAGAGAAAGCCACAAAGTTGGCTCTGCTCCCCTATCATTTGCTCCCAACAACCAGCGCTCAGAGCCATACTGCTCCTGGATATGGAGGCTCTGTCTTTCCACATCATGGCCAATCACGGTGCTGTCCCCTTCCATAAGTTTGTCTAGCCTGTCATGAAAGCCCTCCAAGGTAGCAGGTGAGTCCCCATCTCAGCCAGTGAGCAACACAAGAAAAAAGCAAGCTGGTCAATGGATCCTCTCTCTTCTCCCACTCATAGGCAACTCTAGGTGGAAAACTGGAATAATGCCCTTATTCAAATAAATAAATATGGGTCTAACCATTTGGACTCAGAGGACTGCATGCATCCTTCAGCTTGGACGGGACACTCAACTCAGAGTTTAGGGCCTGGATTTCTTAAGGAACACCTCCTTCTGTGTGTACCTATCTGGACCCTCAGATCATCAACGGCAGTCCTCCTCCAGAACCCACCTTTAAAGGAAGCAAGGAAGGGGGCGCAAGGGAAAGGGCCTTTGGTAGTGGCTCCCCAATGATGGAACCAGCATTCCAGGGAGATGCCAGTGCCTGACACCAGCGCTTTATAAATTTCAATGCCAGGTCAAAAGCTTTTTATTCTCCCGTTATTTCAATTGTTTATTTGTGATTTTATACTGGCTTTTATTCAGACAATGATCGGTTGTAGTGGTTTATTATGTTATCCATTATCATTTTATTTACTTGTCTAATTGTTGCTTATTCTCCCTGTACCTTTGCAATTATTATGGAGTTATTGTTGTTACTATGTGTTATGTTGTTTTAAATAATTACAAACTGTTCCGAGAGTATGCTCTGATAGAACGGTCTATAAAAACTTTGAATAAATAAATGAATGAATAAGCTTTACATATCTGTCTATCACATGTCTCTACTGCCCCACTGCCAAAGCTCTCTGAGTGGTTTACATAGTCCATAAAAACAGATAATAAAAATACAATAAAATATCAGAATATCAGAAAAAATATTTAAAAGTTTTAAACAGCTAAAAACAAATAATAAAAATGGACAATAACAAGGAATACAAATGGACAATAACAAATGAGATAGTGAGAGAGAGACTCTAAGAGGCGGTTGGGGCCCCCCCTGAGTGCCACCTCCAAGGGAGGCTGAGAGGTGGGTGACAAGAGGGAGGGCTTTCTCTGTGTTGCCCCCCCCCCCCCATGGAGCAACCTCTTTCCAGTTCCAGGTTAAGACATCCCTTTATGCCGAAGCTTTAAAAGATCTACTTGGTTGTCCGGGGGCTTGAGCTGCTATTCTTTTATAGGGGCATCCTTCACTCTGTGTTTTAGCTGTTTTCATTTTTA